ACTGCTGAGCCCTAAGTCCTTCTTTTTTTTGAGAGGTTTTTGGTATAGGGCACATGCACATGCCATAAAGACAGAGAGACAGAAAGTGAGAAATTGTTCTTCCTGGGGTATGACCACACTGCAATCCCTTCTCCTCCATTCTCCTCTCGGGATCTTGGGCACGCATGCACGTGCCCAACATGAGTTTAAGCCATCGGGTCCAGGACTCGAACCGCGGTCGACTACATGGGAGTCCAGTGACATAGCCATTACGCCAACTGCCAGTTCTCTGAACCCTAAGTTCTTAATTTTAATTATCGCTTTTATTAGTTCTTGTCTTTCCATTTCTTCTTAGTAGGGGCCTCGGTGGGTCTATGTGTGCTGTCTCCTTTTTGCTAGCTTTTAGTCCTATCATCTTGTCTCTTCCGTGCCAGTGTGTACTGGACATCGGATTGGAAACGGTATTTCCTGAGTTGGTCGAGGCTAGGTTATTATCGTTTTTAGAGAGGTTGTTCCCCGAGGACCTGGGGTGAGGACTCTCTGGGCTCACCTTCATCAGCTTGTCTGACAGAACTGGTTTCAGACCAAGCTGCAGTCTGTGGAAGAGTTAAGCAAAACCTAACCTCCGTCCCCCAAACCCTTCCTAGCTCTCCCTCCTCTCGGGGTATTGCTAATTAGGGCCCCAAGTGTGGGCTAGCATGGTGGCCATCCTGACCTTCCTGACCCCCCGGACTGCAGTTCCCATCTCCGTCCCCTTCCAGGGCTGTCTGGAGTGGCCCGTGTCACCTGAGAGCTCTGCTTAGAACCGCGGAGTCCTATAGTGCGTGGGAGTCTGACCTTGGGACTCTCCCCGTCTCGTTCCTTCTGATTCAAGGCCGTTTCTTGGCTGTGTTGTGTTCAAGGGGAAAGGCTAGTTGAACTCTGGACCTGCTGCTAGTGGGGTAGGGGCGCTTTACTGACTGGTTCCTGCTCTGCATTTACAAAAATGTCTTGATTAGCATCCTTTTTGTAAGCCCTGTGGTTAACCTTTTCCCATACCTCATTTGTATCCTGTGTGGACATACCTTATCCTGCCGTCCCCTAAGAGATTTACGAGGAGTACCTCTTAGCATTGCGTGGACCTCCCCTCGTCCATCGGTGTAAACTCTGTTGACCGTTGCGAAACCATCTTTGGCATGAGCTCTTTTTCATTCAGGAGCTTTCCATCTTGAGCGAAAAGCCGGTCCAAGTGTCTATTGGTCTCGACCTCTCGGTTCCGCCGGCAGCAGCACTAACTGCGTCTCCACCCCCGCAGGGCAGTCGGCCGCGTCGTGCGGCCGTGCTGGGAAGCAGCTGAAGCGCTGCCGAGGCAGCCAGCCGGGGATGCTGTTGGACAGCTGGTCCCGCATGGTGAAGAGCCTGACCGTGTCGTCCTCCGTGAACCAGGCGTCGCGCCTCATCGACGGCAGCGAGCCCTGCTGGCAGTCCTCTGGCTCGCAGGGCAAGGTAGGTGTGCCGACTCGGCCGGGAGTTCGCCGTACTTCGGCTTCCTAGGTTTTCCGATCACGCTCTGAAAGCTGCAGGGTTACTGAAGGCGCCCGACGGGACTCACTGCCTGTCGCAGTCTATGAATGATAAGCCCTCCGGTTTTTCTGTCAAGATTTGATAGGATGCCGGCCACAGGTTTCCCCACTGGGCCCTTTGCTGGAGGGGTATAGATTTCTCTCCCCTTCCCTGCACGGAATGTCCGAATTCAGATTCTACTTCTGCTTACATGTGGTTTTGCTTTGCCTTTTTTTTTTTTTAATCTTTATTTATTTATTGCTAGAATGTACTTTCGAGGGGGAGGGAGAAAGAAAGTGAGGAAGCACCCACAGGGGGGATGGCCTTGCCACGTTCTGGACACGCCCACATGTGTGTATGCCATGTTTTTCAAACCGCTGGGTCCAGGCCTCGAGCCACACAGTAGGCCGTGTGAGATCCACCTGCCTCCACCACCATGCCACACACTGGCCTGTTGCACGTTTTTCTGACATAGCCCAGTAGGTCCGTGCTGAGCTTCGGGCATCATCATGACTACACCGACGTGCAGGTGCACCTCCTGGGCACGCAGGGTAGAGTCGGGGCCTTTTCTCCATCCCGACCCTCCTGCCGCTCACCCTTGCTGACATAAGAGTCTGTAATAGCTCGCTTTTGGGCCTTACAGCGAGACCTCCCTCTCACGAGCACGTAGTAGGCAGAGCCATCTTCTCTGCTAGGTAGAAGGGTCGTAGAAGGTAGAGTCTGGTTGCGGTGATGCTGCTTCAGCTGCCGCCCTACAGCCGTGTGTTGCTGACCGGGCCTCTGTGTTTTAAGCACTGGATCCGCTTGGAGCTCTTCCCAGATGTGCTCGTTCATAGACTGAAGATGACGGTGGACCCTGCAGACAGCAGCTACATGCCCTCCCTGGTGGTGGTGTCAGGTAGGCGCCTGCCTCCCCTACAGGAGTGTCTCCCGTCACACAGGGGGAGTCCTTGGCTGATCCCTGGACCCCTTCTTTCCGTAGGTGGGAACTCCCTAAATAACCTGATTGAGCTGAAGACCATCAACATTAACCCCACCGACACCACGGTGCCCTTGCTGAGTGACTGTGCGGAGGTGAGTGGCCTGGGGTGACTTGCAGACGACAAGGGAGGGCACTTGTGCATGGCTGTGCCCACACCGAGCCCATCACCACCTCCTTCGTCAAAGAAGTCGCTGTAGGTTTTAACGTGTCAGATTTCAGCATTAAATATACTTAAAATAAGACAGATTAAGGTAGTTTTCTACACGACCGAGTTGTGACAAGTTTGACATTCAGGACAAACAGCTTTTACATAACTCGAATTTGCTGCTTGTCAGAGCCACTAGAAAAAGGACCACAGTCAATGTGGCCCCTCCCCGCGACCAGGGAGTGCTCCAGGTCGCTCTTGCATCTGCACGCTCAGGTTTCAGTTGGTGCCTCAGTTCACGCTGCTTTTCTGCGTGTTGACGTGGTTCGGTGGTCACACCTTTGGCATCAAGTGCTGTGCTTGTCACCAAGTGTCTCCTCTCAGTTCGTGATATGGTAGCTTAGAAAATGAACCCAAGTTTACTGCTTCTCTTGAAAGTTCTGCCTCAGAATCTAGGCAGGTTCCTTCAAACCCACACTGTATAGATAATACAGTGATTACTGCTGGAGTTATGATAGTTATGTAGCTAGGTTTCAAAATTACCCTTACCTTGGGAGCAGTTGGCGTAATGGCTATGTCGCTGAACTCCCATGTAGTCGACCGCGGTTCGAGTCCTGGACCCGGTGGCTGAAACTCATGCTGGGCACGTGGCCTGCGTACCCAAGATCCCGAGAGGAGAATGGAGGAGAAGGGATTGCGGCGTGACCATCCCCCCTGGGGGGCGATTTCTCGCTTTCTGTCTCTCTGGCAAGCGCATGCGCCCTATAGCAAAAACCTCAAAAAAAGAAAAAAATTATCCTTAACTTAGTGTTTCACACAGAAGTTCTTAACCAACATAATGACTATGATATTTTCATGGTAATCTATACGTGAGCGAGAGTTGGTTTGACATTACACATTGATCATTGTTGAGGTGGGCGATAGGGTCATTTTTCCCTCAATTTGCATTATTCCAATACTTTTTATTATGTTTTAAAAATTGGAGAGATGGGCCAGCAGGTGGCATGGTGGTTAAGGTGCTAGAATTCCCAATGGCTGACTGTGGTTCGAGTCCTGGACCTGGCGGGTTGCGCTCTCTCTCTCTCTCTCTCTCTCTTTCTCTGACAAAACTCATGTGAAAATAATAAATAAGTAAAAGAGTTATTTAAAAAAAAATTGGAGAGACTCCAATCACCTCATATTCGATCTTTCCTTTTTTTTTTTTTTTAAAGAGGTTTATGCTTTAGGGTGGTGTATGCTTTCCAGAGATAGAAAGAGAGAGAGACAGTGAGAGGAAAAGTGAGAGACGACCCCTAGGGAGGATGGCCACACAGCAATCCTTTCTCCTCCATTCTCCTCCTGGATCTTAGGCATGCATTTGCACCTGGCCCAAGGGCTAAGCCACTGAGGCCGGGACAGGAACTGTGGTCAGCCATGTGGGAGTCGGACGATGTAGCCACTGTGCCACCTGCTGGCCCTCATTGCTTCCTTAACACATCTTGGTTCAAGAAAGCTCAGAGGCTGAGGTGGTCATTCAGTAAGGCCGTCTGTCACCCCGTGTGATTCGAGTTGTGAAATGAGCAGGGCCCCAGCCCCAGCAGACGCGTTCCCTGAGTCTGTCCCTTCTTGGATGGCAGACCGTGCTTTGCTGCGGCCGTGATGGCCTGGACGGACGCCCTGGGTGTCTACCTAGCGTCAGTGCAGGAGCCCCGTCCCTCCCGCCGTGCGTCCCGTGCGCCCGGTGCTCTGCGAGCGTCTGAGCGCTGGGTGCCGAACCATCCACAGCGCGTGCTTCCGCGTTTAGTACCACAGGTACGTGGAGATCGCGATCAAGCAGTGCCGGAGCTCGGGCATCGACTGCAAGATCCACGGGCTCATCCTGCTGGGGCGGATCCGCGCGGAGGAGGAGGATCTGGCCGCGGTCCCCTTCCTGGCTTCGGATAACGAAGAGGAGGATGACGACAAAGGCAGCAGCGGGAGGGGAGCGGCGGCGCGGGGCCGG